AAGGTTTGCAAGGCATTTCCATTTAAATGGAAATAGATACCATAGTTTGCTTCCTGTCATGGATACATTTTCTCCAGGATTTAATTTAAAGGAGTGTAATTGTATTTATTCTCAACACCTGCAAAGTGATTTACAGTATTTAAAGAAAGGAATTGTTCGAGTCTCCAGAAACTGAGTGTTTCTATCTGTGCTTTTATAGTCTTTTTAACTTTCTATTCATGTCACAAAAGTATCATTTAGTAATATTCTTGAAGAATTAGGTAGTAAATCAGATCACAACATTAACTTAGGCATTAAAATAGAACAAAAACCACCTTAGCTGCCATATTAATATTATAGGTAGAGGATATAGAAGCACCTAAAGCTGCACAACAGAGTATCTTAGACTGAAATAAAGCTTTTCTTAAACTTCTGGGATGTTGTTTATTTTCTCTATTTTTGTAAAAACAAACAAAAAACCCCTTGTAAATAAAACCTCACAATGTAATCAAAGCCGTGGTTGTGATAAAAATTATTTCCTGGGGTATTGTCCAATCCATTTAATTTTCTTACTATCACATGAAGACTACTCAGATCACAGTTTTATAGATGAAGAATTTTATTCTGCAGTTAAATAAGTTGTATATTTGGGGGTCTCTGAAGTGGGCGTGGCAACTATGTAAAAGAAATTTGAGGGATATTAAAATGATATTTTAGTTCAGATGGATTTCAAAAAGCAGCCTTCAATAAATAATACGTGAGAAGATACTTTTGGAACATTCTAACTCCTTTGTCGGCATTTTTGCTTTGTGGTGGCATTTCATTTTAAATTATTACATTTCTTACAGGAGGGAGGGGAATCATGTAACTCCCCAAGAAAATTAAAAAGTTTAATTCAGGATTTCACAAAGCATTTTATGTTGAATCAAAACAGTTTCATTACTCTTAATTCCCTTACAAGAACAAGTTTTCCTCGTGGAATACTAAGGAATGCCAGGGTCCTGCTAAATGTGAGGCAGTGCAATAATCCCTAAGAGATGAGAAATCATATTTTGAGCATTAGGCAAAGCCCAGCTTGGCACATAGATTTGTATTTGTGCTTAAATTTGATTTGGCTCTGCCAACAATTTCTAGGCAATTTGTCTTCAAATCAAATTAGCTGAAATTGAACTTAAAACTCCTGCTTTAATTTGTTTTGATGTGAAGTGTGGGCTGAACCTCATCATCCAGCTTTGAGAGCAGGTGTTGAAAAGTAAATAAAATGGAAAAGGAGAAGACAGAAAAATAAAAGGTGAAGGACAAGAAACAGAGAAATGAAATGAAAGATATTGCAATGGAAGGAAAAAGGCAGGAGCTGAAAGGGGGGGCTGGAAGGGACGAACACCAGGAGAATTTATGTTGACAAGATGCAGGAACAAAAATAATTCGGACCAAATCCATCTGACAGGGATGAAAATGCCATTTCAAGCATCCATAAACAGCAAAACTGTCACAGGAAAGAAATAATTGTCATCTATGTGCAAAAAAAGAGTAAGTAAAGGAGGTGGGAGCCCGGGCAGGAGAGCATGGTGTGAATTCCAGCCCCACGGAGCAGCAGCCAAGTCCTGAGCCCCAGGGGAGCTGAGCCAGGTGCCAGGACCCACCTGCTCCCTAAGGAAAGGTGTATCCAGGACCTCCTGACCTGCCACTGGCTCCTCCAAGGGGCTCCTCCAGCCCAGCAACCCCAGGAACACAGGGATCCATCCCCAGGTGGGGTCCGACCACCTCAGGGACCTCAGAGCCCTGACAGACAACCCAATATCCTGGCAGCCCCCTCAGTGCCTCACCTGGAAAGACAATTCCACACCCAGCCCCATGCCCTGGCAGCCCCCTCAGTATCCCACATGGAGAACCAATCCCACACCCATCCCCATGCCCTGACAGCCCCCTCAACGTCCTGGCAGTTCCCTCAGCGTCCCACCTGGAAAGACAATTCCACACCCAGCCCCATGCCCTGGCAGCCCCCTCAGCATCCCACATGGAGAACCAATCCTACACCCAGCCCAATGTCCTGGCAGTTCCCTCAATATTCTGGCAGTTCCCTCAGCGTCCCACCTGGAAAGACAATTCCACATCCAGCCACATGTCTTGGCAGTCCCCTCAGTGTCCCACTTGGAGAGGCAATCCCACACCCATCCCCATGTCCTGACAGCCCCCCCAATGTCCTGGAAGCCTCTTCAGTGTCCCACCCAGAGAACCAATCCCACACCCAGTTCCATGCCCTGGCAGCCCTCCCCCCCAATATCCTGGAAGCCTCTTCAGTGTCCCACCTGGAGAACCAACCCCACACCCATTTCCATGCCCTGACAGCCCCTTCAGTGTCCCACCCAGAGAACCAATCCCACACCCAGTTCCCATGCCCTGGCAGCCTCCTCAGCTTCCCACCTGGAGAGCCAATCCCACATCCAGCCCCATGTCCTGCCACCCAGCCTGCCACCCCATTGCTCCGCTCTCCCTGTCCCCCTGTGCCCCCCAGGCAGGGGATCCCACCTTGTCCTCTACCCTCTCAATAAACCTCCTCTATCCCTCCCCACTTTGTGCCGTCCCCTCACGGCCTCCCGAGCGTCTCCCCCGCCGCCATTACCGGCGTCCATCGCCGTTGCTGTGGGGAATGGCGGCAGTGCCCCGGGACTGGGTTCTCACCCCTTCCCTCCCTCTTCCCTCACCCCGCACCCAGCAGAGGTGCCTGTGTGTGTTTTTCCACCCTCATATTTCCATACCCCATTGGGATATTAATGGGAATTTGGCAACTTGGGGCCCTGCTGTGCCGCAGCCACGGAGATGTCTCACATGTGGAGTCATGGCCTGTGGACCTCAGAGCTCAGTGGTCAGACCCAACAGGCCCCAAACTCGGGTTTAAACTAAGCATTCCTATGTTAAAAAGGGGAAAAGCCCTTCAGAACAAAGTGATGTTTTCCTTGGGATGGGAGTTGTGTCCTGAAGCCCTCACCTGCCATTCCCTGTAGCTCCAGGAACGGCTTCTCCACGTGGGGGTTGGTGATTGTTTCAGGGGTTAAGCGGAGCAGAAATAAGAGTTCATTGGCAATTCTGCCACAGAATTTGACAGTGGATGTTTGATGGTGCAAATATTTATGGCTTTGAGTATACATTGAGTGTACAACTTCCTTGTGAGGGGAAGAGGAGGGGTAGGCATTGATCTCTTCCCTGTGGCGACCAGGGACAGGACCTGAGGGAATGAAGTTGTGTGATGGGATGTTTAGGTTGGATATCAGGAAAAGGTTCTTCCCCCAGAAGGTGGCTGAGGGCTGGAACAGCCTCCCAGGGCAGTGGTCACAGCGCCAAGGCTGACAGAGCTCAAGAAATGTTTGGACAACACTCTCAGGCACAGGGTGGGATTCTTGGGAATGGTCCTGTGCAGGGCTAAGAGTTGGACTCAATGACCTTGTGGGTCCCTTCCAACTCAGCATAATTTGTGATTCTGTGAAATTATTAGCATCCTTATCACTAGGTTTATCATCATGCTTTGATGCCAATGACCCCTGCATCCTTTGATTGCACTTCTTCAGACCACTAATAAACAAATCATTTGAAAATGTTAAATTCCAAATGGCCCATCATCTCCTAGGCTATACTCACATCCAAAATCTCCTGGGAAACAAGGATGAAAAATAACTTTTGGCTGTAATTTATGTTTTTTCACTTATGTGGGGTTTTTTTTCTGTTGTTGTTTTACAGGAAAATGCTCTGAAAATACCTACTTTTAATAGGCTTTTTGCTGGACCTCCTGTTGTCTCTCAAAAGTAAAAAGAAATGACAGATGGTGAGCCACATAGTGTAAACTATCCATAGTTTTATTTTTAGTTTTCAGTGAGTGTTTTCAGGATCCCAGTTCCATACATGGAGTACTGCATTTCCAGCCTCACAGAAGGGTTTTCACAGACAAAAAAAATTCCTTTCAATAGTATATTTACTATTTGCTTTATTGCTATTTAATAGTGCATTTGGTCCTACCTAATCAATCCTAGAAATAAAGTGTTATATTCTATTGTGAGTGTTTTCAGGATACTGCTATATTAATCCTAGCATATGAAATGTGTGTAAGCCCCTTTTAAAACCTAGGCCAGTTTCACCTCTGGCGTAGGGACAGCTTTACTGAACTCACATTGCTCACTTAGAGCAGAAACAAACTTTGCCCTCAAAATTTGAAAGTAGTCTGTTATCATTTAACATTCTTAAAATACCTCTCATGCTCAGAGACCTCCTTGAGCAAATATGTGCAGGCAGCCAGTGAATTGTGGTCATCTCTGGGGTAGAAGGTGACAACCAGATGGAAGAAGAGCATCCTGGATAATGAGAGTAAAATGGGGAGGTGGGGGCGTTTCCAAAGTATTCTGAACCTCTTCTTTCACCTTATGCTCTGGAAATTTTCACTGGTGATGCAAAAAGAGGGAGAAAAGGCAACTGTAGGTTCTGGGTGCATGGAGTCAGCCAAATCAACCCTCTCAGTATCAGGGAGGGAAATCCCTGAGCCTACAGTGAGGACGATGAGCTGAATTCTTTAAAGCTGAGTGTTCATAACCAAGGCTTATTTCAATGTGCTCTCTGCTGTAATTACTTCTGCATCTATGCTCCCCTTGCCCTCTCCTTATTCCTTCCCCTTCTATAATCTAAATTTTCCAGTTACAACTCCAAAGCCTGGTTGTGATCAAGGAAAGGGCACAAGCTCTTTTGTGCAGGCGACAGCAGCGACAGCGCCCATGCAACCCGATGGCTTTGTGATTGCCCCCAGCTCCCTGTCCCTTCTCACTTGTCCCTTCCCCCTCTCCCAAATATTTCTCCAGCCCTGTCTCATTGGTGCACTACTCTCCCTTGCCTTTTTTGGGCTGCCACCCTGTCAATCTAATGCAATAAGGCCGGGGGCAGGTGCAAACCCCTTGCTACGGCTCCTCTTACGGACCAATCCTCGTCCCAAAATACCTGAGAGCCAATGGAGTGGGAAAACCCGGGACCCCGAGGAGAGGGCAAAGCTGCTGGATTGCCTGGGGGAGGGGGCATCCATTTAGGACCCGGGTTAGCCCAGGAGCTGCTGAATTCCTCTTGGGATCGTGGTGACTTGTGGATAGCAGGCTCTGCTGGTTCACTTCCATCACTGCAAACATGGTGATCAAAGTCTTTGTGGCCACATCTTCGGGGTCTACAGCGGTAGGTGACTCCTTTAACATCCTCTTACTGCTGGGATCAGGGTGGGGAATTAGCCCAGAAGGTGCCAGGACAGAGTTTGCATTTGAGAAAAAACAACCCCACTGGAATTTTAACAGTAATAAACCTTATTTTTATTGTACACTGACCACCTTATTCTTGAAAGCTGCTCGAGATATAGAGAATTCCTGGTAGTGCAGTCTGGCTTGCATGAGAGCTTTTGCCACAGTTATGACATTTACATCTAAATTATCTGTCATTTAATAGATTTATTATGTTTGGAAAAGTATATGAAGTATATATTTACTGAAGAAGGACAAAGTAGATATTGTATTTGCACAGAAGTGAAGGCAGATTGTCTGCAGTACAAAATAATGTATTTGTTTTTAAAAGAGGCTTTAGGACACTCCTCCTGCAAAAGGGGAACTCTGGCTGAGAAAGACCTTGGAGCTGAATAAAGTTATGCAGAAAAATTTCTTCCTCACCCCCCTCCCTTTCCCTGGGTTTGGGGAGTTTTTTGGTTTGTTTGGTAGTTTGTCTTTTGGAATTTTTTCTGGGGTGTGTGTCTGTTGAAACATTATACTGATGATTTTTAGCATTGAGATCTACTGCTGTAGCTGTCAGCAGAGTGTATCAGCTGAAGGGAAGGGCATGTGAATAGTGGGGAGGTTGGAAGTCCGTGGGAGGTGGGAACCGGGAAAGGACTGTTTCCTTTTATATCCAGTTCCCAGATGAGCTCAGATTTCAGTTTTCCTCTGGCACTCACTCACTGCCAGTGACACGGCTAAACAAACTGGCTGGCTAAACAAACTAGCTGGAACTACATCTCTATCTCCCTGACACCAACTCCATATTTTCAAGAAGCTTCCAGAGTGGAAAAGCTCCAAAAAACACCCCCTGTTCATGGGACCATCATCTCTAGAAAATGAACCAGGGGTCGTTCACCAAAATTCCAGTTGGAATACCACTGAGGAGGTTTGCAGTTCTCCCACTAAGCCTGACACTCTAAATTTACTACTGGCATTTAGCATTCCTTCTTTTTATAACAAAATGTAAGGGGAAAAAAAAATAAGAAAAGAAGAGGAGGTTGGAAACTTCAGCAGGTTTGGTAATTTGGAATAGTTCACTTGCTGCTCAAGGAGCTTTATAAGTCACCATACGCTGTGCAAGGACAGTATTTCTGCCCCTGTTCAACCTGTTTTGGTCTCCTTTGGAGACTCCAGGAGAAGAGTATGGAATCTTCCCATGGCAACGTGGCTCTGTATTTCCTCCTTTCTGGTGTGCTGGGGGTGTGTGTAGCCGTAGAAATCTCAGAAGGCAGCATGTGTTCCCATTACTGGTTCAGAATTGCAGTGCCAAGTGTTCAGCTGGAGCAGTTTTCCCCATTTACTGATGAACATGGATGGGAGGGATCCTTTCAATGAACCTTTAATGCGTTTTAATCTACATCAAATAAAATTCACTCATGCAAGGAGTCAGCCTAAAATTCAATGTGTCACTAAAATCCTATTAAAATTAAATTTTGTATCAGCCTTGTACAGCTTTTCCCGAGAAGAATTAATTTAATCCCTAAAGAGTTTAAATTGGAAGTTTAAACTGTCCTAGGAGCACTGGTGATCTCTTCAAAGTGCCTGATCCCCATCAAATGAGTGGTGTTGATTTTGAATTTCAAATAGGATTGGTCCAGCTTCCTCTGGTGTAAATCAGAGGTAAAGAATGAAAAATGTTTCTATTCTATGTACTGCATGGTCATACTACTCATTGTTACTTGCTTAAATGTTAATAAATGCTTTGTAAAAGTGACTGCAGTGAACCCAGTGACATTGTGGTGCTCTGGATCAGATGCTTGAATGATCTAATTCACTGCAGCTCTAGAGCTAATCTGCATTTTCCCCATCGAGGATTCAGCAATTTATTTTAAATATCTTCAGTTTTATTATCTTTCTCCTCCAAACTTAGCTGATATTGAACTATTCATTATGGAGAGCTTATTTATAGCTCTAAAAAGCACTAAATGCTTGACTTGGAGCAAGTAGTAAAAAAAAATAAAATAATTTTGTTGCTAGTTACAGAGGTGTTTAGGAATTGGGAATATCCTGCAAGGTTCTAAATCATGGGAGAAAGAGGGTTCAGGTCTTCCAAAGTCTCGCTTACTGCTGCTCATGTTTGGGGCATCTCTAAAATCCTTTATTCCCAGTGATTTTGGTGACATTTTATGAACTTTTCCCCCCTTCAAATCTGTATCAAAAGCACTGTGGGCAGGAGGTGAGGGGGGGATTCTGCCCCTCTGCCCCCTCAGGTGAGACACCCCTGCAGAGCTGCTCCAGCCCTGGGGAACAGCACAGCAAGGACATGGAGCTGCTGGAGAGAGTCCAGAGCAGGCACCAAGAGCATCCCAGGGCTGGAGCAGCTCTGCTGGGAGGAAAGGTTGGGAGAGCTGGGATTGCTCAGCCTGGAGAAGAGAAGCTTTGGGGGGGAACTGATTGTGGCCTTGCAGGACCTGAAGGAGCTCCAAGAAAGATGGAAAGAGACTATTTGCAAGGGCTGGAGTGACAGAACAAGGGGGAATGGCTTCAAACTGTTCCTCTTGCTATAAATTGTTGACTATTTGCTTCCACCATGAGCAGCTGATCAACAGGAATGCACTGGATTGTGAGGATATAGATGATAATATTCATTATGCATCAAGTGAACACAATATTATCTGTAGCTTTTCACAGAGTTATGGAACGATTTGAGTTGGAAGGGACCTTAAAGCTCATCTCGTTCCAACCCCTGCCATAGACAGGGACACCTTCTACTAGCCCAGGTTGCTCAGAGCCTCCTCCAACCTGGCCTTGAACACTTCCAGGGATGGGACATCCACAATTCCTCTGGCCAATTCTTACCCTCTAGCTAGACAGAAACAATTTAAAACAGTGTTTTATTATTTTAATGGACTAGCAGCCAGCGATGGTGGAACTTAAGCTTTGCTGAAAGCGAAAATGGCATTGATGAAAGAATATCCTGCTCACCACCACTTTCCAAGTAATCTATGCCCAAGCAATTTGAATTCTTCCCATGCCATCAGACACAAGTGAGGACACAAACAAGCTCCTGCGATCTCATCTGTTCTGGGAAAATCTTTGCTTGTCCTCTGGGTTGTTACATCCCCCATTCCCCCCTCTGAGTGCTGATTGCTGGAGACATTCTTTTGGTTGCCCAGTGCTTTGTGCCACCCCCAGCAAATGTTTGCTTTGTACTTTTACACTTAGTGTGTGTCCCAGGTCTTTGCTCTGACTAAACCCTGGCAATGGTGAGCCTTAAGGCACAGCACAGCTTCTACTGGGTTTATTGTTATTGTCATAGTAAGAAACATCTTGCCTTTTCCTTATGCAGCATAATTCCATGTAATTTACTGTTTTACCTCAGCATTAATTCTTTACACAGCCCTTGCCTGATTTTTGCTTTCAGACCTGGCGCTGCCTGAGCCTCCTGTGTATTTGAACCTCAAGCTGAAGAAGAATTGCTATGCCTGGTTTAAAAGTTATATCTCCAGCCATAAGCAGGGGAGCACAGAATCTACAGCTCTGTTTCCCTTATCTCCTCAGAGGCACTATCCATGTGCAGCTATTCCAGGAGCAGTATCCACTGCAGTGCCTGTGTCCAAGGGGACAAGCTGACACTGGAATTGCAGCTGACAGCACTTGAGTTCACTGCCTGTCAGAGCATGTGATGAAACCCCTGGTACTGACCTGTGCTGTTTTTATTAACCATTTGTACAAATATTATTCTGCCACTTCCTCCAAAAAATCCTTTCTACCACCTGAACATGTTCTGCAAATAAATGCTAAGTAGCCATTAATGAAATTATTTCTGTTTGAAAAGTTAAAATGAGAATATAAATAAGCACCTTTGTGCTCTGTCAGCTCTATGGGTTTTGACCACTTTGGATTAGTGGTTCCATTCAAAGCGATGTGCTTTTTTCACCTCACCATAAATCTCTATTGTTGTCATAAAAATGTACACCATTTTATTCTTGTTATTTGTTACAAGCAAGCATAGATACTTTTTTTATTTACACAGGAAAGACTGACCCTGAGATTAGCTCAGTTGGTTAAAACATGGTGATAATAACACCAGGGTTGTGGGATCAACCCCCATTTGGGCCATTTATATTTAAGAGTTGGACTCAGTGATCCTTGTGGGTTCTTTCCAACTCAAATAATCCAGGAAATTTTATTCTTATTCATGCAAATAAATTCTTCCAGGATAACAGGCTATCACTCTGCTTCAGCTCTTCTCTTTTATTAGATTATAGAAATACATAATCCATGATTTATTTCTCCTTTCATTTCCTGTCTCGGACTGATTTACACCAGCTCGGTGTCATTTAAAATCAGGTGTTCAGATGTCTGATGTGTGGAAGACATGGTTTCAAATCACAAGATGGCTCATGTGTCAGAATTACCTTGATGCATCATTCTGGCTAAGTCAGATGGCAAGTTCTTCAAGTGTTGCTTAGGAGTAGCATTCCTTTATTAGGGAATTACACTGAGTATTACGTCTTCAGAGTAAAGGAATGGGATATAGGCTTGATGCCTGCATTCTGGGTCTGTACAGAACTATTCAAAGGGAATAAGGGCCAGGAAGGATTTTTAGGTGTCACAGAAACTATGTCTAATATGTTTTAATTGTATCTAACATGTTATTCCTGGTCCAACTTCAATGTCATTCTGTAATGTGGGAAATATTGAAGCCCAGGAATTGAGCTGTACTGGATTTTCTTGAGCTTTCACTCATATTTATATGTTATATATCAATAATGGCCATAAACTAAAACACAAGTTCCACCTCAACATGAGGAAAATCTTCTTTCCATGGGGGGTGAAGAGCACTGGAACAGCTGCCCAGGGAGGGGGTGGAGTCTCCCTCTCTGGAGACATTCCAAACCCACCTGGACACGTTCCTGTGTCACCTGCTCCAGGTGACCCTACCTTGGCAGGGGGGTTGGACTGGATGATCTCCAGAGGTCCCTTCCAACCCTGATGGTTCCATGGTTCTGATTCTGTGATATTTAGTTATCCCTCAGCATTAAAGAACAGGGACAGAGAGAAACGTGGCTCATGGAAAGCTAAATGTCAAATGTAATTAGCAGGAAAAAGGAGGCTCTTACATGTTGAGGAGAATATGTACCTTCTCAGACCTGTGCTGACTTCAGGCAGGATTAGCTTAGGCATCTGTACACCACACTCATGGGTCTGGGAGCAGAGTGGGAGGCTTCCTGCTGAGCCTCATTCCCTAGATGGAGGTATCAGTGCTTCCAGGGAGGAAAGAAAGGAGCTGGGAGTGGGTGTATGGGGGGGATGGCAGAGCTCTGGGTGCTGAAAAGTGTGAGGGCTGCTGGAGTAGTGCATCCAGCTTCAAGAATTTCTAACTTACAGGAAGAATTTCTTCACTGAAAGGGTGGTCAGGCCTTGGACAGGGCTGCCCAGGGAGGTGGTGGAGTCCCCATCCCTGGAGGTGTCCAAGGAATGACTGGACATGTCAGTGCTCCAGTCTAGCTGACAAAGTGGTGATTGGCCAAAGGTTGGACCTGACCTTGGAGTCTTTCCCAACCTAAATGATCCTGGGATTCTGTAAACTTGACATACTCACATGAGTTCTTCCTGTAACAACAATTTTCTTTTTAAAGAAGGAATGCTCTTTTTCCTCTTTGCTACCCAGATAAAAAAGAAGCAGCAAGAAGTCGTGGGCTTTTTGGAGGCCAACAAGATTGACTTTCAGCAGATGGACATAGCAGGGGATGAGGACAACAGGAAATGGATGAGAGAGAATGTCCCAGGTGAAAAAAAGCCTCAAAATGGAATTCCCCTCCCTCCACAGATCTTCAACGAGGAGCGGTACTGCGGGGTAAGAAACTGTTTGGATGTTTAAATACCTTCAGAGAGTTGTTTGCCACAGGAAGTGACTCTTTTCCATTAGCAGGAAGTGTCAAGCAAACTCCTTAAGACAATTTGAGATTCACTGTGAAAGAACAATCATTAGGAAGCACTTTTTAAGCAGAGAAAATAAAAAAAAAACCAAAACAAAAAGATTATTTCTTTTCAAAAGCAGAGCACACATGGAGGGAAAACGTTAAATTAATTTTGCATGGGAAGTGCTAATATTTTTTTTGTTTGACACAGACTCATCTGGGCTGTCAGGTTGACATCTGAGGCTGTGACCAGGAATCTTTCCTTTCCATTATATCATGCAAATAAATAGGAATGATTTTGTGCTGGAATAGTTTTAGTATGTGGTTTGAATTGATGAAATTATATTGCTTATTCAATTAACATCCATCTCTTCATAACAGACCCATCAGATACTTTTGTATTTTCATATGTGCTTGTAACAGCTTCTTTCTCTTGAGACAGTTTGTTCAAATCACAGATAGATAGGACTGTGCCAGCCTGAATATTAGGACTGTGAATCAAAGGAGATAATCTGAGGCCTTGTTTTCCTCATAGTCTGGGTAGAAATACAAAGTCTGGAAAGTGCTGTGATATGATCACTGGAATGAACCTGCAAAGCGCCCTGAAATGCAGCTCACATAGTGAGCCCAGTTTTAAGTTACTGCACAAATCCAGTGTGAACTACTGCAAGGTTGTACTGGGAGAGCAGGGATTTACATTCCACTAAATTTTCAGAATTAATTTCATTGCTCCCAGAACAAAAGTTGGTAGTACAAATGTTGGAGTGCAGTTTTTTCCCCCATTTTCTCACAGGACTCTTAAAGGAGAACCTGGAGTGGTGGAGTTCCTGTGCATTTCAGCACTCAATCTGCACCAATGAAAAGTATAATTTGATATATCTTACTCTGGGGTTTGTGGTAGCCAATGCTGCATTAAATATTTCTGGTGTTCCCTGGAGAGTTTATACAGGGAATTAAAGAGTAATTGCCTTATAAAGTGCTGCAGCTGGTCAGCCTTGCCAGTAAATAGTAAATACAAAGTTTTTATTCCATGTCTGAAGTTATTTCAGGAAGCCAAATAATCTACATCTTGAAATAAATTTAAGTAAAGAAACAGTCTTTTTGCAAAGACACCTCCATGGGGGAAGGAACTGCAGCTACTGATTTAAAAAACTAAATCAAAATTACAATTAGCCTAGAACTCTCCAGAATTCTAATGTAGCCAGCTCCCAAAGCTCATAGCTAATGATCCCAGTGGGTGCATAACAGAGACTGATTCATGGCATCATTATTTCCAAATAAATAAGGTAATGAGAGCCATATCAGCTCATGAGCCTGTCCCTGTTGCCCAGGGGAAGGTGCCTCAGGGGAGCTGCACAGTGAGTGTGACGTGGGATGATGTGGCTGGTTGAGAATTTGCAAATTTGTGTTTGTAAATGGGAATCATATCCTCTATTATATCTTCATTTTGCTGTGCTTGACATGTCAAACTCTTCCCATCTCTTTTTTTTTTTGGATAGGATATTTTCTTTTTCATTTTCTCAGCTTTCTCTTCCTGCTGATTTTTTCTTTCTTCATTCCCAGGTAGGACTCTTTTTGTGGGTCAAATCTGATACATTTCATTTTTGCTCATTCTTCTTTCTGAGCTCACCCTTTTCCTCCCTCACCCTGAGAAAGAGAAATATTTGGAGAGAGATATGACAACCTTCAAACATTATTGGTGTGAATTCAGCATTGGCCCTGCTTTGAGCAGGAAGTTGGACTAGATGGTCTCCTGGGGTTTATTCCCATGTGAATTATCCCATGCTTCCAGGATTTTGTAAAATATCTCCTGCTCCACTCCCACTAGAGGTGGGACAAGATGTATGAGGAAAAAATGCAACAAAAAAAGTTGAAGTCAGACATCAGAAAATAAGCAGTTTTCAGGGGATTGACTAATTATCTCATTAAAAGTCTTTACCAATGGATCAGGGAAACACTTGCCAGGCAATAGGTTCTTGCCTCAGAGAAATGGTCCTTTGAGACCTTCTCCAATGTCCTCTCCTGCACTTCAGTGACATTTTGGGAGTGGTGGTGGTGAGGACAGAGGGGATACCGGGGAGGACTCTTCTTTTTCATGCTGGAATAGAGTGACATAATGAGCAAGAGAATGCAGTCCTGCTGCTAATCTGCTTTTCTGCTGATATTTTTATGGATGTTCTGGAAGACCACTTCCCAACTTGTTCTGTAAAATGGGGGTTTCCTAGGGATGCATTTTCATGAAGGTACATCGACTAGGAGCAGCTTTTCCTTGAGGTCAGAGAAGCTTAAGACTGTCTTATAAATAGCTCAAATCTTATTTTTCTCTCAGATTTTTGGTACTGCCACTTGAAGAAATAGATTACAAATGGATTTATTTTGTATGCCCAGCTACAGCACCAATTTCAAGTATCCATCCTAATCCATCAGTGTTGGCAAATATGTCCTTATTTGATCTTTTTCTTAAGCTGCTTCTTTGCTCATGTCTAGACAGAGTCTGCATCTGTGTCACTTGCTAAATATATTGAGCACTCTGTTGCTCTTGTCTTTGCTTTTGCTTAACAAAAAAAAACTCCAGAAAACTAGGAAAGAAATGGAATGTAAACTTCTGCTTTTCTTTGTGAGCTGAGATCTTGGCTATTCTCTGTAAACTGAAAGTTGTAGTAAAAAGTTCCCATGAACATACTTTTAAAAAAATCTCTGGATTATTAGACTTTTATTTGATGCTGCAGCGTGCACCTGCAGCCCAGAAACCAGACTGGGCTGCATCCAAAGCACCGTGGGCAGCAGGGCAGGGGGGGATTCTGCCCCTCTGCCCCCACAGGTGAGACCCCCCTGCAGAGCTGCTCCAGCCCTGGGGAACAGCACAGCAAGGACATGGAGCTGCTGGAGAGAGTCCAGAGCAGGCCCCAAGAGGATCCCAGGGCTGGAGCAGCTCTGCTGGGAGGAAAGGCTGGGAGAGCTGGGATTGTTCAGCCTGGAGAAGAGAAGCTTTGGGATGACCTAACTGTGAAGAAAAAAAAAAAATTTTTGCTTTATGGGCAAAAATAATGACTCCAGCAGGTTTTTTCTGTGAGTTGGATGAGCTTTTTGTATAAGGCATCAATTAAGAAGTTTGATTAAAAAAAGAAAAGTTTCACAAAAGCAAAGCTCAATGACCTCCTCAAATTGTGCCTGAAATTTTTTAAAAGAAACTATTTCCTGTCTATTTTTGGGTACAAGGGCTCAGAGAAACCCTCTGTGGCAGAATGATGCCAAAATGGGAACTTCTGACCAAAAAAGAGTGGGAGAGGTTTAGTCTATGGGGTATTTCCACACCCCTCTGGGAGATCTGGGGGAGCAGAACTGGCTGTGAGAGCTGCCAAATCCAGCCCCATTGCACTTCTGCAGCTCAGCAAGGAGAGAGGACCATCCCTGGGGAATCTGGGATTCCCTGAGCCCACTGGCTGCTCTGAGCCAGTCTGAAGGAGCTGCCCTGCCCCGCCCCCCCCCCCCCAGGTAAGTCTTTGTGCTTCTGGATGCAAAGCTGAGCCCAGCACTGGTGAATGACTGTCTGCTTTTGTTTCTGCCTGAATCATAGAGCAGCTGATCTGTGCTTGCCGTGGTACCATCATTTAGAGAGAAATTATCTCTCAGATTCAATTGTCTGTTGGCCTTGTGGCTGTACCCTGGTCCCAAACCTCACTGGGGTTGCCCTGAGCCCTTATCCTGACTGTCTTGGTTTTGTGGCTGGCTATAACACATGAAAGTTTGCTGCCTAACATGTATTTTAAGTGGAAACCTTTAATTGCTTAAAGATTTGGTGGTTTTATGTTTGAATCCTGATACTGACTGAATGCCAAGGAGCAGGGGGTTGATTTAGTGGGTGAGAGGAAACAAGAACAGGTACATCTGCTGCTCATCTGTGTTTTACTGCCCTGTATGAAAGATTAATGAGCTTTGAACCTTTGGCCAGCCACTTTTCCTGGCCTGACTCACACTAAAGAGGAGCTTGTGGGGGTGCTGACACCCCCATGTCTGGGTGAGCACAGCGCTCCCTGATCTGGGATGGATCAGGGTTTTGTTCTCTTGGAAAAAGGGGGGGGGGTTGAGAGGAGGGATGTAAACTAGAGGTAAGGTAAAATGCTTATAAGTGGAACCAGTTTTGATATCTGCAAATTTGTTGGGGTTGTTTTAAATATCCTTTTCACAAAATCACAGAATCATCAATGTTGAAAGAGACCTTCAAAATCATCCAGCCCCACCCTCAACTAACAAAATCACCCCTAAATCACATCCCTAAGGGCCACATCCAGATGCCCTTGGAAAAGTTCCAGAGATGGTGACCCCACCACCTCCCTGGGACACTTATTACAAATCCTGACCACCTCCAGTGAAGATACCTGCTCTGAACTTCCCCATGAGCAACTTGTGGATTTCTGTTACCCTCCCATGTGAAAATGCTTTTTCCTGATTAAAGAAGGCTAAAGATGTTTCTGAAGAGACCTGAGCTCTGTGGCTGCCATCAGGCAGAGCCAAAGTCGTGGCTGCTGAGGGGACAGGGAGCAAAGAGCCCCTTGAGTCCAGCTTTGGGTCCTCATGGAAGAGAGACATGGAGGGGCTGGAGCGTGTGCAGGGAAGGGAACGGAGCTGGGGAAGGGGCTGGAGCAGCAGGAGCAGCTGAGGGAGCTGGGGGGGCTCAACCTGGAGAAAAGGAGGCTCAGGGGGGACCTTCTGGCTCTGCAACCCCCTGACAGAAGGGGGGAACCAGCGGGGGGGTCGGGCTCTACTCCCAGGGAACAAGGGACAGGAGGGGAGGGAACGGCCTCCAGCTGTGCCAGGGGAGGCTCAGGTTGGACAGGAGAAGGAATTTGTTGCTGGAAAGGGTGGTCAGGCCTTGGTAGGGGCTGCCCAGGGAGGTTTGGAGTCCCCATCCCTGGAGGTGTCCCAGGAAGGCCTGGCCGTGGCACTCAGTGCTCTGGGCTGGGGGACAAGGTGGGGATGGGGCACAGGGTGGACTCCATGATCTTGGAGAGCTTTTCCAACCTAAATGATTCTGGGATTCTGTGTTTTAACAGCAGGTGGAGGACACACGAAGGGCACCTGTTAGCACCAGGGGCTTCAGCGCTGCAGCCCCCAGAGGTTCTGTTGGATCTGCCTCACATCCCTTGCTCCACAGGCTGGCTCCTCATCCGTATTTTCCCTGCCTTACATGCCAGACAAACTCTCAACAACCAAAAAAAAACCCTGGGAGCTGATCATATAGGAGAATTCAAGTGGCTTAAGTACCTGATATATCATGGGGAAGATGGACATTCTCCTGAAAAAAAAACTCTCTCAAAATCCCAACATGAAAAATAAAGGACATTTTTTAATGTATAAATATTTAAAGGGCATTGATAAATATTTGTGGAGCCAGTGGTTTTACTCAAGTTACAAAATCATTGCAAACAATACTCCGAGGGAACAGAAAATAATGTAGTAGAGCAGGGCTGTAGGCAGGTGGATGGAGGACTGTGCTAACAAACAAGCTTTCCTTAAAAAAAATAGTGTAAAATTGTTATAATTTTATTTCAGATGCCGACATGGCAATACATTATAGATCAGCTGCAGGTTTTTAAGAAACAAATGTTCGATGAATGGCCTTTCTTTTTCTTTTGTGAAATTCTCCTTGGAATTCATCTTGAAACCATTTAGAAGAGGAATGATGTCAAAAGAACTATTTCTGTTGAGGAGAACTTTTTTGCATTTCCAAACTCTTTGAAGGTAATAGAGCACCACATTTCCTCTGCCTCTCATTTTATACCATGGGGTGCAGCCACACTGGGCATCATGACCCCATCCCTTGCCCTGGTCCTCACTGGCCATGCAGAGGTGGCCCCTGGGCTTAATTCTTGCTGGCAAACCTGAGTAGGTGACTCCAGATCTCTCCTTTGGTGATGCTTTGAGGAAAAGCATCCTGCAAGCGTTCTAGAAACAAGTTGGAAACGTTTCAGCAACTATTTGCCCTCTGAAAAATACTGCTGTTTCTTTAAAATGCAGAGAAGAGACAAAAAGACGAGAACACAATCCTTTTATTTTTTTTTTTTTAAATTTGGGTTTAACCCAAATGACCTTCAACTTTCCTCTTGACAAGCCCTTGTTTTGAACCAGGACAAAATTATGCTATTTGGACACCTTCCCCTTGGCTTTCACTCCCTTGCCAGCCCAGAACAAGAACATGCTGGTACTAAATTTAAAAAAAAAACACATTAAACTCAGCAGCTCAGATGGATCCATTTGTCAGAGCCATAACTGAGCGAACAGGTTTTTGGCAATTCAATCAAGCTCCATCAGAACCTTCATCTCCAACTCTGCACCAGATAACTGTGCTCAGATCAATCAGTGTTGGGAAAACATTTGCAGACAGAAGAGGCTGGAAGGGAAGGACTGGGAGTTCTGTTAAACCTGGATCTCAATCGTTGTTTCCTGGGAATCACATCCTTGTCTGGGTGTTGTCCTTCCCTCAGGAGAGGAGGAGAGGTGAGTTCTGCCCCCGTGGGGAGGCTGCAGATTCTCTACCCCCAGTGAGGAGTCTCAGGCAGCCCCTGCTCCAAGCTGAGCCTACAACCAGCATCCCGATGTCCAGGCTCCATCCTCCTGTCCTGCACAGCTCCATGGGGACTCCTGCCCGTCCCCTGGGCTTTTCATGGCCCCTCACTGCTGACAGGGACAAAACAACACGGTGCTGGGAAGGGAGGAGAAAGACACGCGTTAGGAATCCACCTTTCAGTGAGCTGATGTGCCCCGGATCCCCTGTTTGGACTCTTGTGCCAGAGGGGGATAATGAGAGGCTCGGGGTGGGATCGCTGAGGTTGGGGCTGGAAGGCAGGAGGCTGAGCCACAACCCCTGGGGCAGCATGAAAGCCAGTCCTCTGTGCCTGCCCCAGCCATTCCTGCCCCAGGCCACGGGCTGGGTGGAAAAATCCCTCCCTGGAGGGAAATGAGGGCAAGTGAGTGGGACACACACTTCGTGGCTGTGCACTCATTGTGACACAGTGGTTTGTCTTTCTCTTCCCTTTTCTGTTTCTTT